CAGTGCCTTGCCACCCATAGTTGATTGTTTGCTTCATTCACACTACCAAGGACTGAAATGCTCCAGGAAAGCTATTTTCATGCTGAGCTAATCAAAATGACCACAGCAGATTGAAAGTCAAATGGGCTTTGTGTGCCATTGAGAAGGTGATTAGCTGCACCTGATTGAGTTTACAAGTCATTTTTAGGAGGGGGGGTGATCCTTTTTCCAACTCAGTGATTCTGTTTTTTTGTTTGTTTGTTTTTTCTGACATGTTGGTGTTATATCTTTCACTTGGATGTTATAAGTTGCACTGAGTAAAGCTGGATAAAACAAAAACTGAAGTGTCCATCTTCATTTCAGGCTGCAAAGCAACAAAATGTGATTATTTTAAAGGGGGGTGATTCTTTTCTATACCCACAGTAACAATGTATAAATATTTCACAATATAATTAATATACCAATTATAATATTTCATTCAAAAAATATAATAAAAAAAAATTCCCAATAAAAAATTCAAGCAAACTCAAAAGTAAAACTTCAGGAAGCATCATGGTTATAAAAAATTGGAGAACGGCTGAATTATCATGGTAATAATCTCATAATAGAAAAAAAATATTATGTGTATATATATATATCGGTGACGAACGCGGAAGTGACGAACGTGGAAGCGCAGAGGAGAGAGCAAAACAAAACACCGGTCACGAATTAGTAGTACAAAACGAGGATTTGTAAAGAAAAATGTTGGAGGATTTCGATATAAGCCAAGAGGACACTGGTTTTCCTTTGCTGTAAACAAAACTTGTTTCTCGCGAGACTAGCATATTCTCACCGAAGCTTATGCTACGCCTACATCCTACGTCATCCTCTGGACGCCACTCTCTCGTGAATGAGCATACGACAGTTAGCGGAAGCTAGAGATTAAGATTCATAAAGTTGTAAATATGGATATTTTTCTTACACAAACGCATCGCGTCGCTTTAGAAGGAGTTTATTGACCCCCCGGAGCCATGTGGACTTCTTTTATAATGGATGGGTGCAATTTTTTGGACTTCAAATTTTGGGCTACCATCCACTCCCATTATAAAGCATGGATTAGCCTGGACATTATTTAATATAACTCCGATTGTATTCATCTGAAAGAAGAATGTCATTTACACCTAGGATGGCTTGAGGGTGAGTAAATCATGGGGTAATTTTCATTTTTGGGTGAACTATCCCTTTAATTGTCACGTATTGACATCTGAGGTAATGCTTTTGATGTATGTTCTTTTAAATTACATTTGACGATCATCCAAGGTATATTTGTGTTTAACCTTAATAGTAATTCAGTTATAGAGATATTGCTGCTTTTGGCAATAACAATAAAATGTTAAACCATCTCGTTTGTTCGTTATCCTTCTTTTAGGCCCAATCCCAATTCTATTTTATACCCCTTCCCCTTCCCCTTGTCCCTTGAAATGGAGTGTCAAGGGGTAGGGGTGAAAATATTCCCCTAAGAATTGGGACACCAATACTATGCCGTCAAACGTCACCATACGTCATCTAGCTCCTACAATACTCACACCTACTGGTGTGCTGGTGTGCATTAGAGTCTTTAATTACCATTCTATATTAATGCACTGCTTACTGACACACACACACATATATCAGAGATCACGCAGCTCACACATCCAGGAGCAAAGAAACTTGTCAACGCTGCCCCACGACTTTTATTAATAACAGTTTACATACTGAATCGCTACATTATATTTTCCAGCAACAAGAGGATAAAATCGCTGTTTTTGAAGTAAACTCACTCTACAAAGAGAAACGTGCATACACGCAACTTTCATCTCTCTCTCTGTCTCTCTCTCTCTCTCTCTCGAATTGGCAGTATTTGAAAAAAGGGTTTAGCGATTTATAATTATTGGGGGGACTAGCCCCCCTTAATGTCTACGGTGGTTATCACCCTGATCAGACATGAAAATATGTTGTGGCACTATCGTGCAGTCAGTAATGATATGACGTTAGCAAACTTTAGCGATTTTTTGCAAACATTTCTTTGAGTAACATGACCGTAAATATGAACTCACGATTGAATGTAACATAAAACAAATGATTACATTTCATTAAAATCTTTATTAATGCCAAAAAATGCTTACATTTATGTGTCTTTTTGTTCTCTCGGGCAGCCATGTTGCCGCTGAAGCCGGTTTACGCTGAGATAATTCATACCCCTTCACCTGAAGTGTGGTCCCGAAAAATCTTCGTTTGAAGGGCTATCTGGCCATTCCCCTTACCCCTACCCCTCCAACCAAAAGAGAATCGAGACACCCCTACCCCTTCACGTGAATGCGCGAAACGGAGGGGTAGGGGAAAGGGGAAGGGCAAAGGGGTAGAATTGGGATTGGGCCTTAGTCTTTGTTTATCCATCCGTCTTGTATTGAATATATAAATAATCATTTGGCATTGTACTGTACGCTTAGCATAACACTTATGACTTCTATGTATTTAGAAACCTGTGCTGATAACTTAATAATAGGGCACTGCTGGCATATGGACGCATTTGATATGCAGGAATAGCATATAATGGCCCTCCCAGAAAGTCAAGCATTGGGTCAAATTCTGATACTGAAGTAACCAGAGATGGATGGGTCCCTATGAGACATTTGACACACAAATGCACACCGGGCACATACTGGGAGGTAGTAAATGTATGTAAATGGACACAAATTTCATGTTTGAACCAATTTCATAAGACTGAAAACACTTCAATGTGCATATAATTGGTCATAATTACAAATAACAGCACATGCACAGTGATGTGTTCACCAAACCTTCACACAGTCACGCAAATGCAAGGTAACCAAGGTCAGTTTCTCTGTCACCTAATTAATAATAGAGAATTGAGGCAGATGACCGGCGATGAGGCAGAACACCACCCCCTCCAGTTCTCACTGAAACACCACACACATACAACACATACAGACAGACACACACACATACACCTACTCCTGTAGGATGCCATAACCTTGATGATCATGTGACTGAATTATAATGCCTTCACCGTCAGCTAAAAGCACCTTCACATGCATATGAATACAGCTTTCTCTAAATAACTGAATTACTATTAACGTTAAGCACAGATAGACCTTGGATGATCGTCAAATGTAATTTAAAAGAACATACATCAAAATCATGACCTCAGATAGAGGTCATTTCATGACAATTAACTGTTAAGGCTATTATATTATATTAGCTAATGAATTAAAGCTAAACAGGTCTTGTAATGCAGTAAGATATGGGGTTATGCTTTGTGTCAATATATATTTCAAGAAAAGAATGGTGAGAATTAGTCTTAGACAAACACTTACACTGAAAAACTCTCTTATGGCGCTTTTCCACTGTGTGATACGACTCGGCTCGGTACGGTACGGCACGGCACGGTTCGGTTCGGCTCGGCACGGTTTGCGTTTCCACTGCAGTTCAGTACCGCTTTAGAGTGGGCGGGATTATTCACATGTCGTTATAGTTGCGCCACCTCTACTCCCCCGACTCCTAAAAAAACTTTTTCATTCCGCGTCGCCCCATCAAGCTCTCGCTGGATCCACTCCTCTGCTATCAACGAGAGGAACGTCTGTTCTTCTGCAACAGACAACAAAACTTTTTGGTTGTTAAAAAAAAGGTGCTTCGTTCAAAACAGTTGCGTTCGATCCTTCGCTGGCTGTGCTAATTTAACCCCAACCGAGGTGGTACTAAAAACAAGTACCAGGTATACTGTACCCAGTGGAAAACCCCCCAAAAGTGAACCGTACCGAGCCGTACCATGCAGTGGAAAAGCACCATTAGACAGCATGCGATTCCGAATTCAGTTCCCTTTCACAGCTTATTGCACTTGAATGGTCAAATACACAAAATTCTATCAAAATGCCTGTTTTGGTGAATATTCACGTAAAACACAGTTATGTTAAGTGAATGTAAACAGTTTGGAAATAAATCAGACCTGTGTCAACATATTGGATCTATGCATTAGGTCTTAAAGTGACAGCAGCCCAATATATCTTGGCATATAATGTTACCACGAAATAAAATTACTCTGTTTTGGTTATATCGCCCACCCCTACTTTGCTACTCTTTAAAAATGTTAGTTTTTTAAAATTAATTTAATCAATTTATATTTACAGTAACAAATTATAGTTACAGTTATTAAATTTACAGTAATTAAATTATATGAAATAAGTAACCATTTCAAATGAGCTGTTGTGTTGTACCAGATAAACACAATCTAAAGGCAATCCGTACGTTTTGGTGAACTGGTGGCTAATTTGTATGAATTTGTACATTTTCATTAGTAATATATATATTTTTTACAAATAGTATGCTTTTGTATTATGTAAATTCATGCAAAATCGCCACGAAAAAAATATGATTTCCCTGAGCTCAGAATAAAAGCATGGCAGAGTACAGAGTAAAGGCCGGCTGGAGATTCCCAGATGAGTGGAGCGGAGTGACAAAGCTGATACTGTTCTGCAGTCACTCCTAAAGATCCACAGGAAGCAGATGTCTCCAGACGCGCATTTCAAAGTTGAACTACTTTTAACTTGCAGCGAGACGCGACGCAAACGTCCGCCTGACGCATATGCACATGGACTAAAACAATGAAAAGATAGCATTGACAGAACGCACGAAGAACGCGTCCTGGCCGGTAAGCTGCTCCGCGGAGGCGCTGTCCAGCGCGCGAGCCTCGTGAAGGTGATCGGGCGACCGCTTAGCGTGACAGAGATCACCTTCAGCTTCAGCAGCCTGGCGTGCTGGACAGCGCCTCAGCGGAGCAGCTTCCACCTCCATCGCTCTCCACTTTCTTGCGATTAAATATACAGCGACGTCTTATATAAGTAGCCTGACACTGGCTTTGATGCATCAGCACCACTGAGTTCACTATTACCAAGTTGGCATGCATTTGGTAAAATAATACTAATAATAGCCTAATAATAATAATGTATGGATTTCCTTACAAACATCCACGTGAATGTGCCTACCTGATTATGTCATCGTTATGTCCCAAATAAAATTTCTGCTTGTGTTCCCGTGTGTTGTACACAACTCCGACGCCGGCGACAAAGTACACGATCTCCTTGGCGGCGGTGTAGTACAGGTTGTTGCGGCACTGGTGTCCCCGGTAGCCGTAGACCCACTCGAGTCGTAGGCGACAGTTGGGAGCTGTTCTGTCAGCCATGTTCGGACGTGTTTTGCTTCGAAGCGAACGGCTGGTGCTTCTTCATTCACCGACGCGACGAGCCGTCACATTCAGCCTCGTTTACCCGCGCAGTCCGCTGTCAGCGCAGCTTCGTCCGGCCAAAGACAAACGACGACATGTTTCAGTTCAAGTGGAGTGCACAACTTTAGGCGGTTTGCATAATGTTAGGGCAAATGCTTTGTTTTGTTCAGACGATGTAAATCGGCTTTGGAGTCTGGCTTGTACTACTTGTGGACATGTGCGAAGCATGAAGCGACTCTCTCTCTACTTCTGACCGGACGGGTGGCTTCGCTCTAGTGTCAAAACCTGAGAACATGGATTTTTCGCTTTCGTTAACTCGGACCGGCCAATCACGAGCGGCGGTAGTGATTGACAGAAAGGCTGGCCAATCAGGTCGTGAGGATGAGTTGAATGAAAATGTGTGGGCCAATGGCGAGCAGAAGGAAGGCTTAAGATGTCTATGCTCTATATGGCCTGCTCATTTAGGACAGACGGCAGTTGAATGGCTTTTGTCGTAGGCCTGCTACAGTACACTAGATTAACTCTGTGAGGTCTGAACGGTTTCTGACCTTTATAAAAGTAGCTTACAAAAACGCTTCTGTTAACGACAGAAAACGGGACTAGATAATAATCTACTTTGTGAGTAATAGATGCAAATAAAATAAACCAGTCTTATAATTTTGAAGGTTTTCTGACCTCAATGTTATTTTAGTATCATTGGTGTACCATTATTGTTTTCATCCATATTTTGAATATTTTGTGCGGTTATATTTTCCTTTTTAATTTTAAAACTAGTCATCTTGTTGTCACTTTTATTCATTTAAATGTTTATATAGTTTAAATGATTTCATTTAAATAAATTCAATGTCTATATAATTTCTGTCTTTTTTTTTTAGTTCCGCGCCAATTTTAGTAATTTTGTGTTTTTGTCATTCTAGTGTTTATTTATCATTTTTGTTTCAGTTTTAGTCGTTTTAGCACATCGTGTTATTGATATATTGAGTGTTTTTATATTCTATTTCAAGTAATAACTCTTTTATGTTTCCAGACTCCGTTTTAGTTAACTATAATAACCCCATCTTCTTTCCAGACACATTTTTCAAAGTTAAACTACTTCCAAACAGTAACGTGACTCAATGTCCACTTTACGCATTTGATCCATGGGAGAAAGTAATTCTAAGGTCTGGAGTAACATGAAAGTGAGTACATGTGCTGATAACTTAATAATAGGGAACTTCTGGCATGGACGCATGATATGCATGAATGGTGTATAATGGCCCTTTCAAAAAGTCAAGCACTGGGTCACATTCTGACACTGAAGTAACCAGAGATGCTAACCCATGGTCCTTATGGTTTTTGACCCTGGTGTATGAATATGTAAGTAAGGGGAGCCTTATATAAAACCTGAAAACAATTACAAATGATAGACACAGAACATTTAGTAGGTGTGGAGATTTTCTATTTGAAAGCACAATGAAGGCAAACGTACACAGTCAAAAGGTAAAGCTGTGTTGAAGTCGGTTTCAAACTCTCCAAGGACTCGGACTCGGAGCATTTTTAGGATCTACAAAATGCAAACTTAATCGGAACACACTCCCCATTAATCATATAAACACATTCCAACACACCCATGCCAAGCAAGAGGCTACACGTCCAATTAAACAAACAAAAAAAATTTCGAATTGTTGTTGAAGTCAACATGGCTCATATTCTTCGAAACGCCATCTAAATCATAATGACCATTTAATTTGTATTCCATAACAATGGAGAAAGTTATTATAGAAAAGGATATTGGTGTACCTATGAAAATATTCATCTCAAAAAATGGACCTCATAAGAACAAGAAAAGCATTGACATAAGGTGCTAAGGGCCAGTGGAGTGGCATAAATGTTCACTTCATATAAACTGAACAAAACGGGAGCAGATGCTGATGGCAGCAGTCCATTCACACCGCTCTGGTTTACCACATTTAGACATTGTTTGTCAAATATCTCCACACATTCATTCCTCTCACAGTGAACAAAACAAGCTGTTTTCTGTTGGTCTTCAAACGTGTAGAAGTAATCCAAGTCACTTTATGGATACTAAGTGGGCGAAATTTCTTTTATAAACAGGAATACAAATAAGATGATAATTTGTGTAATTCTGCTGTGGGATGCCCAAGGCTTTCAATACAATATATGCAAACAAGTTTCCAAAAGAGAACCTAAAAAGCTTCAAATCCCTTTTTGGCTTTATTACATTTGAATTAAATGTATAAATTACTGCTCAATTGTTCAGATGGTTTTAAGCACATTGATATTAGTGCTAAACCAATTTTGAAATTAATTTAAATCAGCAACCAAATGCAATGTTTCACTAACAATGCGATGTATAAAACAAATACTCTGTATTCATTAGTAATTTTCAGACAAGTTAGCGATTATTCCATTTATAATGAAGAATAATGTCAAATTGCACAAATCTAATATATATATATTTGTTTAGTTTTTTTTACCAAGGAATGGTAACCAAGAATCAAAGCGCTGAACTCTCAGTGGAAGAGATGTGTTCTTTGCAATTAGAACAAGACAAAATACTCCCAACATATACATTAACATCCATCCTATGCAGTTTGTTCTGTACTAATCTGAAGCGGAGTCATAAATATGACTTTCAAAACTGGATCACATACAAAACATTAGAACTTTTGTCTGCTAAAAACCAACACACGCATACAAGGAATGTCAGAATATCCTCTTGCAAACGTCCAACCAAACTTAACATTGCGCAACAGACAAACGTAAACAAAGGTGTGTGTTTGTAGAGTAATTTACGACAGCTTCGAACGTGGCTCAGCCAATCAGAATCAAGGACCGGAACTCTCCGTTTTATAAGAGGAATTTTAGAATAGTAGAATTTTAGCCTCTTCAAAACATTAATGATACTTGACAGTTCACCTGGAACTTCATCATTCGGTTTCCTCCCAACTTCATATAATACTTTATGATATGATGCGTTGAAATGCACATGAAAAATGTCAGGTGTCACAATGTTTACAGAAGGATGATGAAAGTCTTCTGGAACATTATGAAAAGATTACGGAGTGTCACAAGATGGCACACGGCCTACAAGAGCTGCACGCCAAGCTTTCGTTTGTCTTACGGAGCAGATCTATAGACGCCGCACAACAACATGGATCCTCACAATATAAGATTTCCACTAAATACAGAGCACAAAGACATTTAAGGTGTCCTGTCTGTTAGATTATTGGGTGTGTTTGTGTTCTGTGTCATTAAAAACACACACGACTGTTAGTTTTTTCCCCATCAGCAACAAAAGACAAACTTCAGAACCTTTTCCAGCGTGGATATCCAACATGCCTAACGTGTTCAATTAATTAACATCCACTGTGATTCAAATTAAAAATGATTTTTAAAAAAAAAATAATAAAATAGCTGCTGATCACTGTTGATTTCCCGAAAGTTCGCATTACAGTACTGAGTTGTTAGACTGAAGAGAAAGAAAATGAAAAAATGAAACGTATACAAAGGCATAGGAGATAGAATCCAATGCCCATTATCAACATCATTATGATTATTCCCAATATAGTTTATTTTTGATTACAGATATTTCATCAGTATAATAGTTATTACTGTTATTGTATACTATTCAGTTTGTCTTCACAATTTGTTCAGGGAAGGACGGCGGGACGAGGGGTGCATGGGGACACGGCAGTTATTGTGACGAGGCTTTAGTGGCTATCGTGGACACGCAGTGCTGTTGGAAGTTGGGGGACATGGCCGAGTTGCAGCCCAGCCTCTGACATGGGCCTTTCAGACCACCGTCGCCCTCCACGATCCAGGGGCTGCTGTCCGACTCTTTGCCGAGCATGCCGCAGCACTCCTGGGACGGGGCGCGGTTGCGCTCTCCTGCGCCTAAAGAGGGCGGGGCAGAGGGGTCACTGGAGGAGTGGTCTTGGAGGACGCTGATGATGTGGTTGAGGAGATCATTGAAGAACTCTGGGACACCCTCATACCCTGAGAAGAGTAAAAACAAGTGGTCATGAAGAGGATTTTTGAGCACAAACTGGTCAGTGAGAACATGCTATTAAAACAAAAACAAAAAATCGGTCTGTGCAATGAATACATTTCGCATAGTAGCACATATGCAATATAGTTTTTGTGAAGTGAGAGTTTGTTGTGTGCTTGGTTTGTGTGTGAGGTTAATCGATGGCACACTGCTATTTTACTTAGTAGTTGTAGTTTATTGTGCAATTTAAAAATCACGTCATAGATCTAACTCCACAGTTCCTAGTAGTGTTGTCCGGTTCGCAAATGAATCGTTACTTTGAACCAGTTCTTTTTAGTGAACTGGATGAACTAGTTCACCAAATCATACTGGACTATCTGAAACCGTTTGCGACTCAGGTCAGCACAGATCTAAATCAAAACTCACTTTTGGCTGTGCCTGACAGTCAGTCCAACTTGTAATGTCCTTTTACTTCTTAATATTGATATTGACAATATTATTTCCTAAAAAATCAGCTATGCAAAGGCATCTGGGTTATACAGCAGGAATGTTGTAATGTAAATCACGCCTAAACAAACTGAATGGTCCAATGTAGTTTCATTTTAAATGTTTATTTTTCATTATTTTAATTTCTTTTTATTTGATTTGATTTCTTTTATAACCAATTTTTGTTTGATGTTAAATGTTATATTTGATATTAATATATTATTTTAATATATTATATGCAAGTGGTATAACTAACATGTAGACAGCTATTTTGTCGTCATGTGACAAGAAGACCATAAAATATATTTAGTTCATGATGTCAAACTGCAAGACCCCAAGAAAACATGTTATGGCTCTCAAAAAATACTTGATGTTGAAAAACAGGTTGGAAATAAATATTAAGATAAATACACTCAATTATTCAAAATGTAGGGAAAATATGTAATAACTTTCACTTAAAGCAAAAAATTGGAAATGTTATGATACCCCATGAAACCAACATAAGGTTATTAGACTTATTAAATTATAAAACTTACATCCTACATATTTCCCTTTTCATCACCTTGCACATATCTGTTATTGATACAAACACATTATATATTTTTGGGAGACAAAGATGCAAATGAACCGCAACCAACCATCATCGGTTATCGGTATCGGCCAAAATTTTCATATTGGTGCATCCCTAATCTTACCAATTACGGTTCAAAAATTTGGGGTACGTTTTTTTCCCCCCACAAAATTATTAGTTTTCAACTTTGATATTCTTACGAAAAGTTTCTTAAGCACCAAATCGTAATATTAGAATGGTTTCTGAAGGATAATGTGACACTAAAGACAAAAACAGTTCTTTATATATTTTACAATATTACTGTTTTTACTGTATGTTTGATCAAACAAATGCAGCTTTGGTGCGCATAAGAGTGTATACGTGCAAATGAAAGAATTATTCAATGTTTTGTGTATATAAACTCTATCTGGCACGGGAGAGTTGCCTTGTAGTTAGCAGGATATTTGCATGGACAGATAACAGATACACACCAGGGAATGCATTGATGTCTATGACAGCGTGTTGGCCCGTCTGGTTGTTAATGATGACGTCGATGCCGAAGAGTGAAACACCAAGAGATTCCCGTAGAGATTTACACAGCTCCCTAATGACACCCTCATTCGGTGGTTGGGAAACACCTTCTACATTATCTCTCTGTCAAAAATGCAAACGAAAGAGAAGTATGCAATACCCATTGCTTAAATTCCCACCAGGATTTGTTGCATTAAAGCTTTAGTGAACACAATACTTTTTGTCGACTAGAGAGAACTGAACTTACAGATGTGAGGTCAGAGGATGACTCTGGCTTGGACACATTGTGGCTATTAAAGAAAATCGCTTTTCTGTCTGCAAAGGCATAAAAACAAACACATTACTGTGCAAAACACTTTCAGTTGAATAAAAGGGAAAGTGTAAGAGTGCAAGTGCACAGGAAGCCACTAGACAGCAGCAGAAAGCCGTGGTTCAGCTGAGAGAGTCAAAGCTTCAGGAGTGCCAGGCAGAGAGGGAGAATAAATAGATTGAGGAGGAGGAGGAGGAGGAGGAGGAGGAGCAAACACAAAAATCTAGTGCCAAGAGGATGCTGAGATTTATGGCCTCCCACTCAAATGCCAGTAAAGAAATTCATTAAGGGAGACGGCGACCCTCCATTTAGCCTTCCTTCTTTCTGCAGACATCAAAACACCCCACATATTCATGATGTACATCTATTAATCCTCAAATATTATATTTTTTTTAACCTAAGAAAATTTCTCTTCATCTGTATAGCTTCTAAATATGGCTGCCTCATGCCATTCAATAAAGAAAATCTATTTGAAGGTGAAATATTAAAAGGCATTAAAATGCAACATGCTTTGTAAAAGCCATATATGTTTTAAAACATTTAACAAAAATTTGGATATAAACCTTATTAATATTTGTAATTTATTTAATTTTGAAATTCTCTTAAAGCATGAAAATATGCATTGCATTGCTCAATAATGCCTGTGTAGAAACATTTTCAAAAATAAAGAATAATCGGTTATCGGTATCGGCCAAAATTTTCATATTGGTGCATCCCTAATCTTACCAATTACGGTTCAAAAATTTGGGGTACGTTTTTTTCCCCCCACAAAATTATTAGTTTTCAACTTTGATATTCTTACGAAAAGTTTCTTAAGCACCAAATCGTAATATTAGAATGGTTTCTGAAGGATAATGTGACACTAAAGACAAAAACAGTTCTTTATATATTTTACAATATTACTGTTTTTACTGTATGTTTGATCAAACAAATGCAGCTTTGGTGCGCATAAGAGTGTATACGTGCAAATGAAAGAATTATTCAATGTTTTGTGTATATAAACTCTATCTGGCACGGGAGAGTTGCCTTGTAGTTAGCAGGATATTTGCATGGACAGATAACAGATACACACCAGGGAATGCATTGATGTCTATGACAGCGTGTTGGCCCGTCTGGTTGTTAATGATGACGTCGATGCCGAAGAGTGAAACACCAAGAGATTCCCGTAGAGATTTACACAGCTCCCTAATGACACCCTCATTCGGTGGTTGGGAAACACCTTCTACATTATCTCTCTGTCAAAAATGCAAACGAAAGAGAAGTATGCAATACCCATTGCTTAAATTCCCACCAGGATTTGTTGCATTAAAGCTTTAGTGAACACAATACTTTTTGTCGACTAGAGAGAACTGAACTTACAGATGTGAGGTCAGAGGATGACTCTGGCTTGGACACATTGTGGCTATTAAAGAAAATCGCTTTTCTGTCTGCAAAGGCATAAAAACAAACACATTACTGTGCAAAACACTTTCAGTTGAATAAAAGGGAAAGTGTAAGAGTGCAAGTGCACAGGAAGCCACTAGACAGCAGCAGAAAGCCGTGGTTCAGCTGAGAGAGTCAAAGCTTCAGGAGTGCCAGGCAGAGAGGGAGAATAAATAGATTGAGGAGGAGGAGGAGGAGGAGGAGGAGGAGCAAACACAAAAATCTAGTGCCAAGAGGATGCTGAGATTTATGGCCTCCCACTCAAATGCCAGTAAAGAAATTCATTAAGGGAGACGGCGACCCTCCATTTAGCCTTCCTTCTTTCTGCAGACATCAAAACACCCCACATATTCATGATGTACATCTATTAATCAAAATATTATATTTTTTTAAACCTAAGAAAATTTCTCTTCATCTGTATAGCTTCTAAATATGGCTGCCTCATGCCATTCAATAAAGAAAATCTATTTGAAGGTGAAATATTAAAAGGCATTAAAATGCAACATGCTTTGTAAAAGCCATATATGTTTTAAAACATTTAACAAAAATTTGGATATAAACCTTATTAATATTTGTAATTTATTTAATTTTGAAATTCTCTTAAAGCATGAAAATATGCATTGCATTGCTCAATAATGCCTGTGTAGAAACATTAGTTTATTCTGAACTAAGTAATGTTTCTCCATTAAAATTTGCACCTATGTATTCAGACTAAACAATCAATAAATCAAATACAATGTATTTGTTTTAATTTAATTAAACACATATATATATATATATATATATATATATATATATATATATATACTGTATATATATTAAGAAAATAATAATTCATAATTAAAATGTATTATGTGGTGTTATGAGTTCTCATTGGCTTTGCACTGGGCTTAAAACATGATAGTTTTGGTCATTAAAATCTTTACAAAATTAAAATAAACTCTGATTTCCAGAATCTTACTGAATAACTTTACAAACCTGCATAAGAAATTCCTCAGCCTTTTTATTTCACACCTTCACAGAATTCTTAGAAATCACTAACAGCCTGCTCTGTCTTTAGAAACACTGTGCCTCTTTTTTTTCTTTGTTTTAATCTTCTAAACAGGTTTTCTCATTTGAATACTGCTGGAAGGCAAGGCATGTGGGGCACAGCGCTGACTTCCTGAATTTGCATTAAACTAAAAAGTCGCTCTCCCAGTAACCGTAACTGGTTTGCATGGACTACAAGTACATTAGCATATGCAAACGGACAATACTTTATAGCAGCCCGCAGTGGAAACCAGACTTGGGTAAGCACTTTTGCTGACTGGGTTGCAGCAAAATTTGATCGACTCTTTTCACTGCAAAATCAGCTATGCAAAGGCATCTGGGTTATACAGCAGGAATGTTGTAATGTAAATCACGCCTAAACAAACTGAATGGTCCAATCGCAGTGAAACGAACCATTTCGCAGCAGTGGCCTTTCATGGAAATAACATGCATAAAGAGCTGAAGTGTGGGCTGAAGGTTTACCAGATGGTCCAGAGGGGAAGTTCTTGAGTGATGGTCTCTCCACCACAGTGTACGACTCGCCCACCACGAACACCTTATAGAGCACGGCATTGTGGTTTATAAAACTCTGAATGACACACGGTGGCTTCACGTCTTTTAGGTCCTCTGCGTTGAATATTATAGCCATCTGTTGTGAGAAGAGACAAAAGATGAAAACACTCTCAAAAGTAAAGCTTCCAAAAGAGGCTTTTCACCGTAATTCCACAGAACCCCCATTTTGGGTTCCACAAAGAACATTTGTTACACAAAGAAAACTTTTGCTTTCTTAGTATGAAGAACATACTATTTAATAATCTTAAGATTTTTTTCACTGTAAAGAACCTTTTGTGCATATCAAGCGGATGTTGACCAAAAAAAAAAAAAAAGAATCTTGTGTAGTTGAACTTTCCAGATTAACTACTAGTGAGGTTCAGCTTCACAGAGAATGCTGACTTCAAAGGCAGCTCAACTAGGTTTTGAAACAATGCTTTGAGTGTATTAGTGTTTCATGAGCTCTGTGGTCACGTTTCACAAAAACAGAGTTAGAAAAGTCTCTTACCTCATGAGAGTTAGTTCCGTGAGCAACCCGTGTTTTGCAAACTGTGCAGGATGAGAAGAAAAGAAAAACACTCTAAGGTAGCGGATGAGTTTGTTTAGTTAGTAATGCATGCAATCTAGTTTTGTGATTTAATAGCAGTTTAGTAAGGGACATTATTGAAAACTGCGTCTTTGTGGTCATAGCTATTGGTGCAGTCACTTGATTTTTGTCAATCAAATTTTAAGACTTCTTTTCTGCACAAATAAAATGAATGCTGTATGACCATACAAAACAAAATCATGCAAAATCTCAAAATAAATAATGTATATCAGATTATTTTACTTAATTAAACAAGGTGGGAACTTACTGAAAGGGAATGTAAGACCGTGCTGCTTGATCTGCTCCAGTGTGTCTGGGCCACACTCACTGTTCAGCACCATAAATGGAGGAGAACAGATCCTCACATCTGCAGAGAGAACGAGAGACAGGACGAGACAGGTGAGTCCTGCTCCAATGTTATATGCATTAATGAGATTCCATGGAGGTCTTTGCTGGTTTGGTGCTAGTTTAGCAGGTGGACCAAGCTGTTCTCCATCAAAACAGCAAAGATAATAGAGGGAAAATGCAAAGGTTTGCGAAACCGACCGTCGTCGTGTGAGCAAAAGTTTAATAAAATCTTTCACTGTACTTCAATGAGTTTAAAATGCATGAAAAACACTATCCATCAGCATTATTTATCTCAAATGGCAGTTGATTGGCTGACGCAGGAACCTGGAAGTATGCAATTTGAAATCTGGCATCTTTGCTAATGGAGCCTCAGAACTTTTAACAAAGCAAAAAAAATAAAATAAAAATAAAAATAACGCATTAAAAAATTCAAGTGAAATTTTTTTTTTTCATTTTAAAAATATGTTTTTATGTTATGTTAATGTTATGTTTTTGATGAAAGATTATGAAGACGTATGAACTTAAAAAGAAAAATGATGTGCAAAGGCAAATTATTTATAATAAACATCCTTTCAATGTTTCATAAAAACACAAGAATTGGTGATTTATGATTACCGGTAAGTTATTGAAGAACACCAAAAAAAAAAAAACAAGCATAACAAGCAAGAAATACCAAATGTCAAAGCACTAAAACTCCCACTGACCAGCGGTGATGATCATTTAAGCAGGGAAAAGGGAAGCAAAAACAATATAAAAAGACATCTGAATTGTGGAACAGGCAGGACTAGTTAGGTGAGAGTAACTAGACACATTTACGCATTCACAGGGATGATGTTATTTGGTAAGAGTAGATGTTATCCCCCACGACTCTTATAGAACAACTTGTGTAAGGTCTTCTGTCAACAGTTACTCCTCTGGTTGCCTTTACTTCCATATTTATTTTACCGAATGGAGAACAATGGACAGAAGGCACTGAGCCCGACTCACTCTGCATAATGCAGAAGCCAGTCAATAGAAGCGCAGCAATTTGACCCATGGGTTCAAGGCTTTGTTTGAAAATACTGTAGTCTCACTGTCCTGGGCATCACTCAGATGAGCAAACAGAGCCATAGATGGAACAAAAGCGTCAATAGCTGTGAATGAGTAGCTATGTTTGCGAATTCCGACCGGAGGCACATTATCGGATAAGGATGAATCATCAAAACAGAGATGCATACTGGGCTTAACTTGGGAATAGGCTCTTCTGACTTGGGCCAGTAAGCAACCGCCCAGAGGTTCAGTGAATGAATCTGCTTTGGTGCAGAGTATCAGTGTTCGTGCTGTTATCTAGGCAGATAAGGCATGTTTTGGGAGTTTTTTTTTTTTAAGTGTAGCACAGGAAATGAGTTGAAGAGCGAAGCCTCAGCAGGCCGATGACACAGCGCACTGATATGATCACGGTAAACCGCCTGTGTGGAGAGGTAGCAAAACTGATGATGAGATGCTTTTCAAAGCTGAAGAAAAGACTCGACATGACTCAAGAGTTTAGTACACATTATGAAACACTTCATCACACAACTTGTATTTCAAGAAATGGTAAAATAACATTTTAAGACTACTGAAAACTTCAATATATAAATTATAAAATGGTTATTCCATATACGTAGTAAGGTTTCACAAAATAAAACCGAGCAAATAAAGTGTAATGATATTAATAAAAACATTATTTTTCCACCAAACAAAGTAGTTGCTCAGAAACAGTTGTGGTTGCAACAAAGTGGTTGTTAAGCAACACACAAACGTAAACAAAGGTGTATGTTTGTGGAGTAATTTACAACAGCTTTTGGAACTATGAATTTTATAAAAATACATTAATAACAGTAAAGGCCCATTCACACCAAGGACGATAACTATAAAGATATCGTTTTAAAAATCGTTCTCAATATTAAAGAATAGCAGTCCACACACCACAGCTATAACGATAAAGGCACAGAGAAGCGATATCGTTGGAATCGCTTTCAGAACGATTTTTTCCAGCTGATGAACGATAAAAATATTCACAGCCAATCAGGATCCATCCTGCTGTAACGAGCTCGAGAATTTAAAGTGGCAGACGTGCTTGCACTTAGAATAAACAGACGATATCGTTCTTGGTGTGAACGGGCCTTAATACTGAAAATGCATTGCAATTTAAAACAACGGTTTCCTATTTGAATATATTTTAAAATATAATTTATTCCTGAGATGGCCAAGCTAAGTTTTCAGCATCATTACTCCACTCTTCAGGGTCACATGATCCTTCAGAAATCAGTCTAATACACTGATTTAGTGCTAGAGATGCATTTATTTTTATTATCTATGTTGAAAGCAGTTGTGCTGCTTAATATTTTTGAGGAAACTATTATACTTTTTTCAGCTGATGAATGGAAAGTTTGATAAAACAGCATTTACTTACAATAGAAATCTTTTGTAACATTATAAATGCCTTTACTTTGACTTTTGATCAATTTTGTGCAGCCTTGGTGAATAAAAGTATACATTTATTTTAAATAATAATAATACTTACCCCAAACTTTTGAACTATAGTGTATTCATAGTTGAATGCATAGAGGACTAACTCAAAGTTCCTCAAAACCAGCAAACGCGAAAACAGTCGACCAAAAAGGTCAGTATTGATTGGTCAAAGTCCCCCATTCAGGAATAAAATCGCAAGCTCCGTTCACTTCCCGTTTTGCCTAGCTAGCTTTTGAGTTGGTAAATGATGGTATCGCTACTGAAATATCATGTAGTGTTGAAACAGAGAGAGCTGTGCTGGTTTTCTTATCAGAGCTGGTCCATTTATCCAGCTGCTAGCTTTTTGTTCTCCTATTCCAGAGGAAGCTTACATAAGCGTTTATGAAAGCCAGTAATAAATGGCAGTAGCAATCTCCGACAAGCGATTTAGTGGTGTGAGCAACCTACTATTACCATTTATAAACATTTCAAGCATCCAGACTTACATGTTCGGTAAGAAAATATTTCCAGCGTGTTGTTCGCTTTTCAAAAACTGAAACAAATATAGTAATGCACTTGCAATAGAAGCCTATGTGGCAACGTTTCTGCAAATATGAATAATAATGTTCATTTTGGAAGCATCAAGACCATGTAAAGTTAGTAAACTTTCATGCAATACACTCAATTAATGATGTTACGCAACTATCCACAAGTACTGTTCAGACAAAGAAAACCATTAAACTAGATAACCCTAACCTAGATACTCACCTCAAAAAGACAATTGAGATTACTTACAGATCAGATAATAAACATTTTCTTCCTGTCCAATTCACGTAAATTCTGAAACAAAATGTAGAGAACAGCTGCCCCATTGACTTGCAATGTGCTTTATTCTACATCGGTTTTTCGTTTGATTTTACAAACTGAGGCAAAGTTCTAGAAGGTATTTGTACAAGACTTCAGTGCCGAGATTTTAAGAAATTTATGTTTTTGAAGGCTGTTAATACATGACTTATTATTAGAAATGTCAATTCTATTTAAATTGGCCAAGAGTTGTTCAGTAAATAAAAAGGGAAGAGTAATGAGATCCTCTTTAGCAGGTACAAACGCTTAGTGATGTTCCCATTTCTGGCTCAGTGAGGATCAATCTGTGCTCTGTCTAAACACTTCAAGCTCTCTGCAGACCTGCCGGAGCCGGCCGAGACATTTATATGACATTTATGGAATGTTTAGAACACGTTTATGAAGCACTGCTATGGAGTTTTGGCTCCGATTCTGCCGGACAGCACAGACGGGAAGCGTAATATCATACGAGCCTCTTCCTCCATCCATTCACTCCTTTGTTATGGAAAAAAACATTTATCAAACTAAATCTCTGAGACCCTATTTTCCCAGATAAAACAGTACCAAAACCAGTTCAAACTACAAAAAAAAAAACACCCTTTGAGCTGATCAGATTTGAAAACTGCTAAACACAATACCATGAAAGCAGATGCCTTGTACAGTGAAATGCTCCGTCTCATGCACAAACAAATGGTGTCCTGCTTTGTCTCCACAGACAGAATGTAAGACAGCAGGACAATGTTAAGGTGAAGCTCTTCAGGATGTGCATGAGTCATATGGTCAAGAGTGGAGCCAGAAAACGTGGGACTAACCACTAGGCGTCTCATTAAGAAATAGACTAGAATTGACTGAGGACTGGGATGACAAACAGCATTCATTACGGCACCAGTGTGTGGGCGACTTCCTGTGTGCTGGTTCATCAACTGATACCTACAAGCACAGATCATAGATCCGTTCCCAGAACCTAGCGAGCTACCAAAAGTCTAAAATTAAATTTAAAGTTCCCCTGAAATGCTTAGAAACACGCAGCATTACTCTATGTGTTGACGTCATTTTAACTGAAACAGGAAGACAGGGCGGGACATATCACGCAGCCCCGCCCCTTTTTAAAATAGCCAATAGCGTTCGTTTATATCACAGCTTGGGCTAGAGCCGTTCCGAGCCACTGAGCTCCGTAAAGCCGCATTTGACAGGGTATGCCTCCAGCCTCCATCACTCATTTGGCTCAGTTTTAGCTCTACATTCCATGTCACTCTGTCCTTCTTACTGAAAATAAACAGTGTCCATGGCTAACTTTTTCCAGACAGTATTACACTTGTACTACACCGCACGCCCTGCACTGCGGTCCATCTGTCATCAAAAAACCTCATCACCTGTATTCTGTGTTAAAAATGTTAACAATGTATGCAGTGTAATATAAGTAAATAGTGCTGTGCAGTATTTAATTTCAATTTAAGTAGTTATCCAGGGTTCAACAACTAGGTTTGCTGTGCTTGTTTGTAGGGCTGCACAATTTGTGATTAGATATCAATATGGCTATAAAATAACAGCAACAACCGCAATAATACGGTAATATTGTTGTTAATATTACTAAATAAAATTAAAATACAAATACATTAACTGTAAAATTATAATACTAGTATTATAAATACTAGTGGCACTAACTGTGATGTTGAGTCAGTTGCTCGGTCCATTGAGCCATGGCAATGACAGCTCAGTGCGGTGCGAGCTCTGTAACATCGCTCCGCTTCGTCCCACATTTGGTGTGTTTGGCTTCCCATGCAAATGCATGTTAAAGCTACCAAATCTCAGAGCACATGCAGAGATGGAGTCTGTGTGGAACAGCACTTACTGCGAAACAAGCCGCTCTGAGATGCTGCACACGCTGGCAATAATGAGCTGCTCACGGATAAGAACACAGTGCTGTGCTTCACTCTGAAACACGCAGCACATATATTTAATCATAGCCTTTGCGATCTGATAATTGCACCAAGGCATAATCGCTATTGACCCGTGGCAAAGACCCGCCCCCCTTACTGTTGCTACGTCCGACAAGCCATCGCACTCTCACGCCACACATGTTCTCACGCAGTGAAACATACAAATTTTGATTTTATTTCGATTAATCGTGCAGTCCCAGGACCAAATCTCATGCATCATGTCTCAAAATACACCAAATTAATTTTGGGAGATTTCTATCCACTGGCATTAAGGTAGACTCTTGGGTGTTTATGCATTTTTAACATCAGTGGCATTACACATTCCTAGCAGACAATAAGACTGATGCTGCATACAAGTGTAAAAGCCTCTTATGTATGCTACAATGCACATTTATTGAAAAAATGAAATGAAGATGAGAGAAATGTTGATTATAAATATATCTCAGTCAGTACCGAAAACTATTTTACCCAATATGGTGTGAACGCTGCTATGCTTAGAGTATCTAGAGCGGCTGCCACTTGTGTTGCTATGGTAGCCACTGTAACCATACTTTCTGTTGCTAAAGAGAGGGATGTGGCACTGTGTCTGCCTGTAAATGTGAGAGGACGAAAGAAACCGAGAGGGTGACAGATGGCCAGGGTATAATTTGGTAGTTGTGTTATCTGCAAGTACTGGCGTCATCCAATCTAACATTTACATTGCAGCATGTTTAATGTTGCAACAGTCAATTCAACATGTTGCGATTTAATGCATTTAATACCACCTGACCTGACCTATACGAACATTTTTAGAATGAGTTTTCCTACAACTGGAGAAATCTTTTTGAGAGGCTGCTGGTAAACTTCTTTTAATCTTGACACAGTGTCTAAAAACAGACACTTACAGGGCAAAACATGACTCAGCGGTTAATTTGATTTGGCAAAAAAAAAACTGAGAAATTTAAAACAATTCAAGAACGCATCCTGTGCATCCTTTTGAATTCTTCATTGTAGGGCTTTTCCAGAAAATACCTACATATGTGATTAATTGCGATTAATTTAATTAGGGGTATTTAGTGCCATATCATGTAATTAATTTGATTTAAAGGGGTCATATGATGCGATTTCAAGTTTTCCTTTCTCTTTGGAGTGTTACAAGCTGTTCGTGAATAGATAAGATCCCTAAAGTTGCAAAGACTAAAGTCTCAAACCCAAAGAGATATTCTTTATAAAAGTTCAGACTTGTCCACGCCCTCCTAAAACACCTTGTTTAAACACGCCCCCACATGTCTACGTCACTGTGTGGGAAGATTTGCATAACGCTGCCCAAATGTTCACGCAAAGAAATAAGCCGTAACTTTAATGTTGCTGTAGCCGCCGCCATGTGGTGAAGACGCGGTGTTTCTCGTTGTGAAAACGAAACTACTTTGTTTGGTCTTCCAAAAGAGGACACGACTAGAAATCAGTGGTTAAGTTGTATTTACAACACTGTTCCAGAACAGTTCAACCCAAATATTCAGATGTGTCCAGCGCATTTTATGGAGGACTGTTTACTGATCCTGGGAGAGTAGACTACAATACCGGCTGTTCTGTCTCACAGACTGCAAGTAAGTTTTCATATTTAAAGGATTTGCTACTGATGATTCAAACGTGAGTATCCGATCACAAATGCAGACATGGTTTTATGTTTACGCGGCGCAATGCAACGCAATGCGTAAAAAGACAGTATAAGTCATTATAATCCGTAATTATGTCCCCACTGGATGCAACAAATGCCTCATTTATAATGGGTTTTAATGTTTTTGTCTCATCGCTCCGGCCGGACACGGCATCACAGTATGGTAAGGGGCGTAACATTTCCGTCACACTTTTGAGGTATTCGGCCAATCACAACACACTGGAAAGCTGGCCAATCAGAGCACACCTCGCTCTTCAGACCGATGAGCTTTGTAAAAATCGATGTGTTTCAGAAAGGCGGGGCATAGAGGAGAAACAATAATGTACAGTATGTGGAAAATAATGTGTTTTTTTTACCTTAAACTGCATAAACACATTTCATTACACCAAATAATGTTCTTTTTAGCAACATCATATGACCCCTTTAAATGTTTGCGGCATAACTAAAGTCTTTTTTATGGTTTCGTTAGATAAAGAGTGGGATGCTCTGATATCAGTGAAAAAGAAGAAAAGGAGAGACACAGACTGGGGGCTTACAGATGATTTTGTTACATAACCATCGGTCACGTCTGGTTCAATAGAACCCGGACACACAGGAAGCCCACAAAGACAAATATAGATGAACATACGCTCCTGCTCAGGGAAGAACCAAATGCTTTCTGTGGAGGGGAGATGAGGTCGCTATAATATGGGTGTTCTGGAGAAATCCACAATTTAAAAGATTAATTCACCCAAAAATTAAAGTTAATTATTAAATGTCATTATTCGCTCACCCTTATATTGCTTTAAACCTGTATGACTTACTTTATTGAAATACAAAACAAGAAATTTTAAAAGTACTTGTCACTTTTTTCCATGCAATTACAATGAATGGTGACTAGTAGGGCTGTCACTATACCAAAAACATACGTTACGATACTACACCAGCTGAAGTATCATGATATCAAGTAGTATCACGATACCGTGAAATATTGTGGTAATTCATCATTCACAATCTGCAACGGCCTGTTTTTTTTTGTTAATCTCTGTTCCAGACATAGACACATAAAGTGCATTGCAATCATTTCCCAAAATGTAATTTGTGTGTAAATAAAAGATGGTAGATGGTAGGTGAACGTGTGAAGTGCAGATCAAGGAGCAATTCACTCACAAATGAATCAGATACGGTTTATTTTCCACATGAACATGCAGAGCTACAAGGTGGATATTAAGATTTCCAGTGAATAACGACTGAAAATTTGTCACACAAAACTTTCATAAGGCTTCAGAATATTGTGCATGAGTCCATGTCTATGATACTTTCATTGTGTTTTTTGTCATTTTGAATCTTGACAGCCCCAGTCCCCATTCCCTTCCATGATATGGAACAGAGCAGTCAGGATATTCTTTAAATACACCTTTTTGGTTCCACAGAAGAAAGTAAAAAGATAATGGGTGAGTAAATGTTAACAGCAATTTACATTTTGGGAGAACTATTCTTTTAAGCAAAGCAAAAGAACGGAATGAGAACATGTTGCAGGTTAGACTCAAACCTGTTTTTCCTGCATGAGCACCAAAGCTCAACATGCCAACTGCTGTGTTACAGCTCTTACCAGACCATTACTTTACAAAGTTCACCCCAAACTGTGAGTGCATCTTGTAGTTAACCTTGTATAACCTGAAAATGGAAGAAGGAACAGGGGTGCTGGATCACAGTACCTCTCATGCAGTCCTCTATCCTGTGCACCAGCTGGTAGGACTTGCAGCGGTCCAGCAGAGTTCGGATGGCTGGAAGTGGGTCAAGAATGATGGTCTCTGGGTGAGCGTCAATATAATCCTGCAAGACCAGTGGAACAGGTCACAACAAGGAAGGTGTACAGGAGACATTAGTCAATAACCTGACTAACTGAAATCTTCAAGTTCTAGCATTACTTACTGGTCCTGTTAAAATGCAACTATCTAACATGTATAAACTTGTATGCATTAATGAACACGCCGCACATACAAAGACATGTACACATGAAGCCTGTTACATTGCTGTTATGTAAAAGAAACAACATCTCAGTCTTGCATTCAGTTGGCATAACAACTCGCTGTCTTTCTCTTCACTGTCCCCATGCACTCCAATCATATGATAACATTTGACTGAATATGATGAAATGCATTCTTTTCTCATTTCCATCAGTCATTTACTGTCATTGATGGGAAATTTAGTCACTGATCCCAGTGTACTGATTGTTAGCTCAAATCAACTCCAACATCTGAATGGGTGAAGACACATTCTACCAGCTCTGAGCAAAATAGGTTACACAACAGCAAAAAAAAAATAAAAGATCTCCAGTTTTCACAGGATTTTGATTGAACACTATGTCAGTGCTCAGATCATTCTGTGTCTTATGTAAATCTATGTACTGTACACATTAAGCGCATGCTTAGTGAGAGCGCGGTGTTAGGAGAGAGCTTTGTTTAAGAACATTAAGAGGCTCAGCGCTCTTACGTTCTCATTTAGAGGTGAGTAGCTGAGGTGACATTTCACAAGACGACAAAACAAAAACAAAGTTGTATGATGGGAATCAGAATGGTCTTTTGTGCAATATTACCATTATAATAAAATATAAAATACACACATACAACCATATTTTATGTTTTTGAACGAAGTCTGTTCCCCAAGGCTGCATTTATGTGATCAAACTGTAATATTGCTAAATATTATTTCAATTTAAATAACGGTTGTCTATTTTAATATACTTTAAAATATAATTTATTCCTGTGATGCAAAGCTAAATTTTCATCAGCCATTACACCAGTCTTAAATGTCACATGGTCCTTCAGAAATCATTCCAAGCAGCTCCGCTCATGAACGCTACTTTATCAGATAAAAATGCCATCTAAACTATTCTGAAGACAGTCGGTTCCCTTCAGAGATACATTCATATAAAACACCCGCGACGCGTTTTGATTTTGAAACATGCAGTGCTCGTTTATTCAACGAAGTCAAACGCCACAAATAAATCAGTGTATGGGAAACACAGGTAATGGATATCGAAATATCGGAAATGTTTAAAAATCATATCACCGTTATTGAAAAAAATTATATCGCGATACATATTGATATTGAATTATTGTCCAGCCCTATAATATGCTGGTTTATTATTAATGTTGGAAACTGGTGCGCTGCTTAATATTCTTTTGGAACCTGTGATGCCTTTTTCAGGATTCTTTGATGAATAAAAAGTTAAAAAGAACAACATTTATTCAAAATCGAAATCTTTTGTAACAATATACAACAATACAATATATTATATAATTTCTGTAGTCATGGTTCCAACTATTTTTTTCAATCCAGTGATTTATTTACTTTTTTTTTTTTTTACTGAACTGTAGGAAATTAATGTACACATAAATAAATTATAATACAAGATGTAAAGAATTTAAAAAAATTATAATAATTATATTACATTGTGTCAGTATATTGCTGTACCAACAAATCCCTATAATTTGAGGTTGAGTATGATGCAATTTCTGCTAAAGCAAACACTGAACTTTATGCACTATTAAAAATGTATACTATAACTAAAATTGAAAACCCAAACACAAAGCAAGATAATACAAATAAAATTATCTTGGATTAATAAAGACTTAAAATGCAAAACCTTTCTCATACTGATCTTTGCTCTGTAATTACTGCTTTTAATTTCCTTTCACTTACAAGTGAATGACAGAGATTAAATTCATGTAAATGAAATAGAATCAGAGTCTGAAGCCAAAAAAATCTGTCTGTGACCATCATACACTACATGTGTTATGAGCCCGAGTCATTTGTCCATTGATTCCATTCTGTCCTGTGTATATAGTCTCTGTGTACGTGCATGTGCATGTTCGTGTTACAGGTGGGCGGTTCCTTATAATTTGCTGGAGGCTGCGATTGGTTCTCCTCCTCACCTGATCCAGATATAAGGACCGCCCCAAATACTCAACCTTCTGCCATTAATGTGCCATGGTGCGTGACTGTGTAGCGTATTGCCTTTGCTGTTTCGCCATCATCATTTAAGTCTTAAAGTGTCTGCCTAGAGAGATTGTGAGTGTGATTGTAATTTTGTCATAGTGTTCGTGATTTCAACCCGTGTTATTTCTTGTTAACTTGACCCACGCCTGATTGACTACTATTTTGGATTCTGATTTTGAACTGTTAAGATATCGACTTGTACATATTTTACTTTGTAAAAAAGTTTTGGCGGTGTAAATGGCGTTTGACGCCATTTTTTTCTTTCTTAAATCTAAAATTTTTGGGTTTAGAGAGTCAGGTAAGTTTGAACTATTTTGTTTTCTTTAATTTTGGTTTAGGAAGTGTAAAGGGTTAAAAAAGCTCATTTTGTTTGTCATTTAGCTTTGTCTGCCCCTGACGCTAAATTGTAAATAAAACTCTTGTTATTCAGCATCTCTCTGGTATTGAGACTCTCTTCCTTTTCCTGTTACGGCTGACCCCCAGCGGTCGCAACAACATGATTTGCTATGAAATCGGTCAACTCCAATCTACAGGCTGGTTCTGACTTTCAGCAACAAGCGTCAACTTCTTCAGACTGTAAATTGAGGCAAAAATCTGGGCAAAAGTTGTGTAGTGTATTCCAGCCTTTAATAAGATTCAAATTCCTGCATCTTAATCAGAGCTGCAGATCTAGGCAGTGGGCTGAAGACGACAGCACACATGCTCAGACAGGCCCTCAGCACACCTCTCACCTGCACACGCTGGACCAGCAGCAGGGACTGGGTGTCATTCTGGTCTGCTTCCAGGATCAGGTCTGTTAGCTTGTGAATGATGACGTCCAGGGGACCCTGCTCCTCTAACGGCTGACTCAGGTCAAGCTGCGGAGAAGGGAAAGGTGAAAGGTCATCATTTACACTTAGAGCATGAATCTACAGCAGTGCTGACAAGGTCAAAGATCAAAGATGTTAAATACCACTACACTACATGTACTGAACAAATTGATGTCTACTGACTCTACCGGCTGTGTTTCCATAATAATAATAATGCATGGCTGACATGAATATGTTTGTAGAATTTGCATTCAAGAAAAACAACATGAAACAAATTGTTGAAGTTGAGTCACTTTTGCAGATAGAACTGTAAATCAGCATTAAAGGGACAATTCACCCAAAAATCTAAATCTGTTTATGCAGAATAAAGCATTAATATGTGCTTTATACATACTAATAAACAGCCAATATGCTAGTAATATGCACTCTAATAAGCTACTAGTTAATAGCGAGAACTGGTCCTTAAAATAAAGTGTTACTGAATTGCTTTTAAACTCCAATGTCCCTTTCATTTAGTGATAGATTAAACGAGTGGCATGTTTAGAATCTTGTAAAAATTTGCACACAAAAAAAAAAAATTTGCAATGGACTATTTATGGCTGAGAGCTGCAAGGACACAATCTATTTCCTTGTATGGTTGAATGTTTAAACCCATCTGACTTTCCATAGTGGCTTTATATTTAGTTGTTTTTTCCCTTCCACTTGTTTTCAGCACGGGGCGTCCCACGAGTGGCCAGGCATCCATGTCAAGAGCAACTCCAGACTACACTGAGCTCAAATCCCATGGTGCTAATGTGCTGACAAACCTGTTCTGCCTCTGATAATCTCATGCTTACTGTACATGGACAGACGGTTCCACCACAAGCCATAAGTGGACAGTGGAAACACACCCCTGACGACCTACTATTGTGTACTTGTCCCTGCTAAGCAAGGTACAACAGCCACAACTCTCTCTCTGACAGTTTGTTGGCTAAACAGCAGCTCCTCCCTCACGCAGCGGGGCTTTAAAGTAACAGGAGACAGACCTCTAATATAGAATATACTACAGAGATACTATAATAGTTAATGCACAATAGTTCATGAAAGACAGGTGCTGGAAAATCGATACAGTGATAAGTGACGAAGTGACGTGACATGTGACAATCCCTGCCGGTACGAGACTCGAACCCCGCAACCTTTGAGTTAATAGTCCGACTCTCTAACCATTTACCCACGACTTCCCCAATATAATCAGATCAGATCAGTTCTTACCATTACAGGTACTTCATCATATTTCAATAATGCAACTAAAACCATAGATATTTATAGGTAGATGCCTCATTCGACAGCTCCAAGCACGTAGACGCGTCCGCCATCTTGCAACAGTCAACTTGACGTCATTCATCATAATAATCAATGAATATTCGAAGATGCCACAATCCTGCACAGCCGATGGTTGTAAAAACCGCCGGGATTTAAATTTCCGAAGAAACGGGATAAGCTTTCACAATGCGAGAGAGGGGCGGAACCATAGATATGTAAGGTTTGTGGCATCTTCGAATAATCATTGATTATTATGGTGAATGACGTCAAGTTGACCCTTCCAATATGGCGGATGGCTTACACATAGCGGCCCATAGAAACTAATAGTCACTAATGAGGCATCTACTTGTATAACCCTATGACTAAAATCACCATCACGAATATGCACACAGTTTCCCAATACTAAATATTATAATTAAATACTACTATTTATATAAAACATAATTTACTGAATCGTAATATTTAATAAACAACAACAACAGCCATCATAAAAGTTGCTAGGCAATTTAGTCAAAAGTACAAAAGCAGCACTCTGACATACAGCATTAAAGTGATATAAAATATAACAATGATGAGATTTTGCTCTCAGCCAAAACTATTTGCTCAGCAACAAATTATAGATTAATGAGACCAAAGACTGCAGATTTGGGCATCTGCCATGACACTCGCTGTGAGAATTACTGCAAGCGGAGTGATACAAACGGTGAAACAGTTGGAGCTCTGTTATCACTAGAATATCGCATTCCTTTCGGCCAATCAGATTCGAGGAACAGAAAGAACTGTTGTGTCTATATATACGTATCTGTATATATACAGTGGGTATAGAAAAGAATCACCCCCCTTTAAAATGACATTTTGTTCTTTGCAGAACTGCTCAAGTTCGGTTCAATTTGATAGTGACCGTTTGTGGACTGCAGTCCAAATCTGATCATCTACTTTTTTCAATCCAATGAACCCCTCACTAAAATATAAAGGCAGCGGTATAATTATATAGAAATATAAAATATTATCTGGAATATATTTATTCTTTTTATTTGATACACTATTATTTTGCTCACTATTGTAGAACTGTTAGAGGCATAAACATGAAATAATTATTATTATTATTAACATTTTTAAACTATTTATCATTTTACAAATTAATAAATAAAAACTAATATTTTAATTTACAATTACATTTTCTAATGTATTTTTATTTATACATATTATTGATAACTGTCCATCACACCCAAACGGTGTTGCATTAAATACATTTATCATTAACTAGGGTTGCCAGTTAAATATTTTGTGTTAATTAAACCATATTTCTTCATTTTTGCCTTTCCAATTTTCGTCACAGAAACAAGTCACTGGCAAATTATGTGCAGTGCATAATGTGCAGGTTTTTCAGTACTTCTCCAATGGTAATATCTCGTGTCATCTTAAACCCGAGACACACTGCACGATTTTCAGCTGTCCCTGACGAAAAGATTGGCGTTGTGAAACAATCGTGGCGATTTCTGTGATCATATGTCGTACAGTTTTATTCTTCTATAGTAATGTGCGTCGTAGTCTACGAGTCAATAGGTGTCAAAATCGTACAGTCCGCATGCATGTCGTACCCAAGTTTATCAGATCCATGTCGCACAGTGTGATTCGCAATGATCTTATAATATTGCTAAAATCATGCAGTTTGTAGAAGCCTTTATTCATGATGCTGAGAGCCACTTTCTTTTCTTCATTCACGTCTGTGTAGAGACACGACCATTCAGTTATTCATGATGCTTTAAGCCATCCGAGACACAAGTAACTAAACACCAACGTCTGCCTGCCTGCTACTCAAGGCACTACATGACCTGTGACGTCTGTCTCTGCTTTAAAACGCATTTCCATAGCTTATTTTCACTTAATGTTACACAGCCAGAAACCACAAGCAACCAAACAAACTTTATATGCAAATAAATAACCAATTTGAATCTAAATCTATTCACAGTATGTCAAATTCCTCCTGTCATTACTAAAACATCCTGAGAGCTGATGCCTGAAATGAGCAGGCAGAGGTCAGAGACTGAGCCAGCGCTGCACCGATGACGCAGATGGCTGCCAGAGGGAGATGTGCAGAATAAGAACCCAAAGATGAATTTAGGTGAGCTGTTCGGCCAGCAACGTCCTAAAGCTGTCATTCAGAGTTAACATCATCAGGATAAGAGCTGATTATAACCAGCAGCAACTTTGAAAGTAAGGCATTAAAGGCATGTCGCAATAATCAATATATCGACTTATCGCGCAATATATGTACATGACCTCAATCATTTTTGGTGACGCAATATATCGCCCATTATATTTACTTAAAAATGAATGTCACCATGCTTTGTACATTCCACTTGTGCCTGTGTCTTTTGCAGCTTCTTGTACATAACGCGGTGTAGTCATGAGGTGCTAGTTCAAATTTAAAAAATGCTTCTACAAACAAAGTTTAATCTGCAGATATGATCTTGTTTAGGGATCTGTGCCTTTGTGTATACGGACATCTGACTGCTGAGTGCTGAGTAGTGATTGTGTTTTTCAGCAATAGTGTGCACCTTTAACTTAGAGAGAAAAGAAGAAGGTCAGGGAAAAATCTGTAGATGGAAAAATCTCCATACAAGTTCTTTGTGCATTTTTCTTTTTTCTACTTTGCACTTTTTGTTAGAAAATATTTATTTACCATTTATTCAGGTTTTTTAATTCACGTTTTTCAATTCAAGTTTATTTGTACAGCGCTTTTCAC